AGTGGGCACGCAGTGGGGGCAATAGTTATTTACTGTAAATACCAGATCCTTCGCACAGACTGTGTGAAGAGTTACCACCCTTGCTTACAATGGTTTATTTTTTAAAGTATTAAATATTGAACAACTTTGATGCATTTGGTCAAAGAGCATACTAATTTTACACGGGTCCATGCGTTCGAAAGGTGCGATTCTAAATAAATAACTATCATGTCAGTGAAAAAACATATCCATATACTAAATAAAAATATGTATTACCAAAAATGTCTTTTACGACACTCCAGAGAAACATTTTGCTTGGCATCTAGAATGGTTTACGTAGCACCCGTCACCTAATAGCTACGTCAGGCCTCGGTGTGTTTCATACATGTGTGAAACTATCCGATAAGTGGTGCATGGCAATGCATTTTGTAATTTTCTAAGACCACTCGATTCCACCGATCAATTGACGGGCTCACACAGCTACAAGCTACATGATTCAAGGGCTGGTCTCACTCCTCAGGGATAGTACATTAGTGGCTGACAATGAGAGAGATAGCTACAAACTACATGATTCAAGAGCTGGTCTCACTCCTCGGGGATAGTACATTAGGGGCTCACAATGGGAGAGATAGCCGATGTAAGTGGCTTACGTAAAGATCCACTGTAAGTTCGAAATCGGATAAAAGTACACGCGTATATATAAACTGTCATGCGGAAAACGTTTGGTCGGTTACTAGGTCATTTCGGGTCTAGCATGTGGTGAATATTTATTTAATAAAATCCCTGTCGCGTGAATACCTGCATGGATCTTAACAACAACACTTGACGTGATGACAGATCTTATCACCTACCCCACCCCACCCCCAATGCACACATACGTATAAAATGGGTCCAATTTGCAGCATTCCTAAACGTCTGGCTGTATGGTGATATATAAATTAAAGAAGTAGATAATAGAACATCTAGACTTTACCGTACCTATTGTATCATTGTTATCGTGAGATAAAAGATAAATCTGGTATTTGTTTACGACAGGTATCGAATGCTAATTATTAGCTTCAAGGGCGATTTTAATGGTCACCTAGACGTCTAAAGGAAAATTCTAGTTGAACGTTACAGTCGTATATGTAAACATGTTCATCCATTGCTTTGCTTTTCCTCTGTTTGTGCTGTTTTATTTTCTTCTTAACAATGTCGATGAACTTAACTCAGGGTGCATTTCACATTTCCGTGCACTTTGTTTGTGTTTCCCACTATGTTGACCCCTTTTATTCCAAAGGCAATGAAATCCATTATTCTTTACTTGTGAAAGTTTTATGTGCAGTTAATCTAAAACCACATAACTAAATCTAATACGTAAACATTACTTTACAGCTTTGTTTGCATAACTGTGAATTTTTTTAATTCTGAAACCATCTTTACCCTTTAGCAACATTTGTAAATTCTTTTATTTATTTAAAAATACAAGAAAAGTTTAATTTACGCGAATGACGACTGGTATAACTTAACGCCTCTTCACACAGCTCTATTTTTATTCCAGTTAATGTTATTCTAAGCATCGAAACAGACAGATCACCAAATTCCATGTTAAAACGATTAAACAACACATATCGTCACTGCATGCATTTATACATCTTGTAATGTGCTATGTGCACCGAGAAAATTTTATAAATTATCAATTGAAATCATTTGGCTTCAATGATGCCCCAAGTACATTTCAAACCCCGATGTACGCAAATGTGTTTTCTTTCATAACTACCAGAGTTTAAATATGTGGCTCATTTATAATAAAATAAAAACAAACTTCTATAAATGCGAAAGTTTTAAATATTTGCAATATTAATAACGTTATAGCTGCGAGTCTAATTCTTTGAAATGGTGAGACCGAATAATTATCAATACTCGTGAAATGTTACAAAGTTTTACCAACTTGATGTCCATATGAATTACCCATATGGAGGTTGCCGCTGATAATCGAAGTGTTACCAGCCAGGTTGACTCACTAAATTATATATTTATTATTGTTTTAAAACTAATGGTCGCGTTTCCTTATCCAAAATTGTGGATGCTATTGAGCTATTACAATTCTCCCACGATATATTAATTGGTAGTTTTTCAACTCAGAAAATCGGTTGATAATTGGTCACTTGATATACAACAAATCATCAGGGATGAAAAGGGGTAATTATATCATGATAGATTTTATGGCACACAAAAAATAAAATTATACACAGAGTGGCAATTTACAATTAATAAAACAGTAAAGAAAATCCTTACGGCAAGCCCACGGATCCATTCACTTGATCTGATATGTACGTTTGTTGTTTGTGGTATATTGTGTCCTGACGATATTTTGTCTTGTGCAATTATTTGTGTGTGGTGCCCCCTCACCCCCCCCCCCCCCCCAACCATCTTGTACTTACTAATAATGTAATTTTTCATGTCGGTGGTATTCGATTTGTTTCTAGCAAACACTGCATAACACAAGATTGTCAACTTCTTTTTTGTGCACGTGCAGAAATTTCATGTTAACAACACTTGGGATTGGTCAACCATTGCGGATTACATTAATGAATTATGCAGTAAATAATATTGAATTTTTTGTTAAGTGTTGTCATTTAAATATATACATGTACGTATACTTTCATTTTGCCAGCAGATAAACGACACAAACCTGTTGTTGTACTTACACTTGAATTACTGAACTTAAACAGGCGTTATGCCTTAAATATTACAGAAACTATTTTAGTTATTAACATGACAAAACCATAATCAACTCTCAATGCCATCGGATGCGTCCGATTTTAAGTAGATTAGAGCGATTCAGCCATTTAATAACTCTATGACAGACCTTATAATCTAACGCACACGCGTTAAACCATTCGGCCACCCAATGCCCCTGGCATGTACTAAGATTGTGAATGTAGTCAAGACTATTTCAATTGTCCCCTTATTATGTAGGAGATACGTCGTCGTTAGGCATCAGACGGATGTAAATTAAATTAAAGTCAATCCTATTTTATGTAATATAATAGAAATAATGATTATTCGCTTAAAATGACATTCATATTTATCACAACAGGCGCGGTTACTTAATATATAACACGTGTGTAAGTGTAAAGAAATATGAAAAAACTCCCTAAAATCCAAATATTTAGACACACGATTTTATTGATATACATGTGTCATTCTAACGATGAGTAAATATTCTTTCATCTGTTATTTTCATTGATGATGTGATATGGTTAATATTATTTGTCAGAGAGAGAGAATGGGTGGGGGTTACAATGTTATCGCATATTTAATCAATTTGTCACGAATAGTATACGAGAGATAGTCAACATCAACTGTATAGATGTTATATTTTACAGGGTTTAACATCCACTTAAAGGAGATAAACTTCTAAACAAATATTTTCCATAATATTTGAAATATCCTATATTTAGGACAATGTGAACATTTTATAATCAGTACACGGGTCGTGTACTCCATGGTTTCGGCTGTCATTTGTAATTAATATAGAAAAACATATCACAGAAGACAATGTGGAAGTAATTAGTAATGCCAGATTTACAAACGACAAGATAATGATATAAAAAAAAGTGTACACTGAAAAAAAACTTGTGTTGGATCTCAACACAAGTACTTGTGTGAAAATTATTCTACACAAAACTTGTGTTGTTTTGCATTGCATTAACACAAACTTGTGTTCTTTTTAATGCATTAACACAAATCTTGTGGGGTTTTTCATATAATTAACACAAGTAATGTGTACCGTCAACAAATATATTTTTTTAAAATTTGAACTCCATACAAAGTCTTAATCCGGGCGTCCACAAGTATAAGAAAAGTATTTTTTACTCAGACATGATGGCCAGACAGACTTGAATGCTAATTGGTGTTAAGATGTCTGTAGTTAAAATAAAGTTGTTGATTTTTTATGGGCCCAATAAACTGGTAGATCAAAGGCCTATTGTGCGCTCATGCCCGGTGTGATTTTAACAATTGACTCCAAATGCATTGACAAGAAAATAAGTAAAACTATTATTTAATGTGATTGGTTGATAAAATCAACGTACTATAGGCTACATTTTGTCTGCGATATCATCTCGGTGGAAGCGGACATTAAATGAATTGATTTCACACAATTCATTTACCATTTAACAGCGTGCTGAAATGATTTTTGAGAAGTGATATGTTTGACAAATGTAAGCTAATGGTCACAGAGAATAAAAGACCGCAGGTTTGTGAATATTTATATAAAAAAAAATAATACCATTTATTTTATGATCAGTAGTGGAATACCGCGTTTTATCAGTGAAATAAAAGTGTTATTCCACTGGCTAGTTGTTTTTACCTAAAATGATTGTAAAATCATAAAATAAATAGAACATTACGCATTCGTGAAAATATAAGTTTTCTTGCTTCTCGATGAAATAAAATATGTTATTCACTCTAAAACGACAAATATCCTCTATGTATGTAATTTAGCATCGATATTGTTTTTGTGTATAATATTAGTATTTCGTTTCCTTAAAAAAACCTCGAACAATTTAACCCGGAAGTTCATGTTTAAAATGGCGGGCGGGGACAGGGAAAAAATTTCGGCATGTTATTATCAAATCTGTTCAATTTTTCTGAAATCGTGCTTAATTAACATTAGTTGTTCGGCGCTACGATGTTATTCAAATACGTAAATTACAGAATCACATTATGATTAAACCAGAAACGGCTCGACTTGAACCAGCAGGTAAGAATCTGTTTTGAAATTATATCTTGGGAGGTTGGATTGGATTGGGGGCCATTTTGATTCTTGTTTCATGATTTTTTTATATTATAAAGATTTTGCCAAAAGTAGACATAAACGCGGGCACAGACTAGAAAAAATCTTTTTACACTTTTGTGTTAGTTGAATTGTAATCTAATTTATGTTTAAAAAAACAACCTTAAATCAAATAAGCAGATATTTTCCCCAAACCCTCCGTTCAACCTCTGACTCTGTGGAATATTACATGTATTAGGCCCCTATTTTCCTGATTCAGTCACAGTTAATAAATAATAAATAATGGAACTAGAATCAGTCTGTGGAAGTTTCTCTATAGTTTCATTATTTTTTCCAGTCAGTGATGATATGACTCATTCCACCTTACAGTTACAGCAATTACCGTATTGAGAATTTACCGTTCAAGGACTCCATTTTGGCATTGAATTGGAATTTGAAGAAAAACTGGTAACAATTTCATTTAATTTTTATATTTTCTATTTTTTTTTTTACCAATGTCCTACAATGATTAGTGTATGTGAACATACAATCCCAAGTAAAGTATTTATATGACACTTACATGCAACAGAGAGAGAAAAATGACATAAACAAGGCCTTACGTGTACTTGTATTTGAAGAATCAAGTAGTCCAAGCTATGCCTATATGCATACCGGTAATCAACTACGACGACGATTAGCTTTCTTCCGTTTCCACCCTTTCCCTGCACACTGTTCCATTCTACTTAGCCTACAGACGCTAGGTCAGGTAAGGTTAAATTTGATATGAATAATTCGTTTGCTGGTATGGGTATTTAGCAAACGGAGGAAACCGAATGGCCCAGAGAAAAACTCAAGAGATTGGACAGGCGACTCTACTCCTTGAAATCGAAACCATGCCACTTAGCACAATGACAGACCCTGTGATTTCATGTGAATGCATTAACTACTAGACCATTCCCCCCAGCCCCACCCCATATTGAATAAAAGTATGGCTTATTTCAAATATGATATTTACATATAAAGAAAGTAGAGAGACTTCAATCTTACTAGAAAAATACTAGATTACCTGAAATGAAATGGGGTTTAAAGACAACGTCCTACTGTTCAGCTCCTACTGGTCTAATGCAGTGTGCTAAGAGAAAATGTTTGTCCGGGCAGCGACACTATGGCCTACTCTCATAGCGAATTCAAACTGCCAAGAGAACTTTTATGTGTACGCCAATGTGTACATTGAATCTCAGGGGAAACCACTCTGAAAAATCAAGATGAGCTTTCTCGGTCAACCCCAAGAGGTAACCTGTGGCCTCCATGCTAGTATTCCAGCACCTAACTCACTCAGTCACCATGGCTGTCTTCTAATTACTGCAACATTGAAACCATGTGACAAACAAGGATTATAAAAATAGATTTTTACGGCTTAGGTAGTTCCTTGGGATTAAAATTTTTGATACATATAGATACATTAGTTTCAATTTCAAATCACACAGTTTGTATTTATGGTATGGTAGCTTTAATGGTAAATTACATATCATGTATTTATTTTTTCAGTTTCAATATTGGATGTATATGCAAATCACCCAGGAAAAGATCATGTAACAAAAGAAATTATAAAAGTAAAAAAATGGAAGAAGAAATGGCTGGAAAAAATGATGATAGAGCAGCTTTTTCTTGGTGGGTAACTATTCAATTCTTATAGAAAAGATTGCTGTTATGCTATTTTGAAATCTAAAATTCAGTTTAGTATAGTAAAACTGTACACGTACATGTATGAGCACAGACAGAATCTTAGTTAGATATGACTGTCTCATCTGTGGCAAAGCAAACAAACACATGAAACAAAACAAATGTAGTTAAATTAACATTTTTTGACTTAATCAAAACTGTCTAGTCAATTTAAGCCAACTAATGTAATACATTGCATATTTTTTTTCAGTTAGCCACCTCGGAAGATCAAGACAGCTGGAAAGGGCTATTGATATTGTGGAAGTGTTTTCTTACAGAGGTTGCTTATCAGACAAAGGCTATGTAAGTACCATGCATATTTGCTTTTTGAATCAGGAACTGGTTCTATACACTTGGTGGGGGGGGGTTTGGATGGCCGAATGGTTAGCATGTGCGTGCTGTATCATACGGCCTGTCATCCTCGGTTGTACGTGACAAGGAGTAGGGTTGCCTGTTCAACCTCGTGGGTTTTCTCCGGGTCCTCCGGTTTCCTCCCACTGCTAAAGACCTCTACGCGCAAGCGAATTAATGAAATAAAATTAAACCATATGTTAGCCCCGAAATGACCTAGTTTGTGTCGAGTGGACGTTGAACCCCATTTCTCTCTCTCTCTATACACTTGGTAATCTAGTTCTTCTTTTTGGGGCATAGTCTAGCGCTATGCCATTTCAAATACGATCAACATGAGACTCAGCAGGCTTGTTTGGTTGATATACAGTTTTGATATATGACTTCAAAACTATAAGATGGATGCAATGTTACACCCTTTCATAATCATTATTATAAAGCGTTCAAATGCATGAATTTGTAAAATATAATTAATATCATATTGTAATACTGTTTGCAATACTGTATTCACCACTGCCTTAGTGGAGATAATTGGTAAATTAAATGATTATTTTTTCATTATTGTCTTTTTTTCAAGACTTTTGTTCTGGCTTCTGACCCATTGAGGCATAATAATCTACCTGGGTCTGTAACTTGAAAAGACACAATAAGTATTATGCAAAGTTGAAACAAAATAGAGACTCAACGTGTGGAAAAATAAGTTATTTATTTAAACATTGTGAACCGTAGAAAGTATATTTATTGCCAACTCAACCACATACTATCATCCAGGGTTTATGGACCTACTTATAGTCCAACCTTCGACGATGGGTTGTATGTTCAATCTAGTTGGAGGTGTACGATTGAACATACAATAATTCAATAACTCACTTCTCTTAGTATAATCTTATATTCTGTAACAATATCTAACAAAGATAATATATACATATAATACTGACCCACAGGATAGGTAACTTAATAAGGAACAGCATCTAAGAAATAACTAGTCACTATATCAGAGACCTGCCCTTCAGTATGTCCTGCTGCCTGCCTGTGGTTAACTCGCCTTTTTCTAATATATACAATTTTTAGGACTTTTATACCTTAGCTTTGTTTTTAGTTACAATATAATCCTTAATACCTTACTGGAATAACTTTACAATAGATAATAATTTATGAAACAATGTCTCTCTAATATAATTACAGAGTTTATTTTTATTAGGATTCTGGCTAATCTATAATGGCTCTGGCCTCAAATTAACTATGCTCTAATTCTACCTGGTCATAATACTTGAATATTAAGCCATCAAATTATTTTATAATTTTGAAAATGAAATGAAATGGGGTTTAACATCCTACTGTTTTGCTCATAAACTGGGCTAATGAATACGGGCATACACCATACAGTGTGCTATGAGGGAAATTTTGCCCGGGCAGTGGCGCTACAGCCTACTCTTATATCGAATTCCAACTGCCAAGGGATCTTTTACATGCACGCCAATGTGTACACATGACCTCGTTTTTTTTTTCCCATCCAAACAACTAGACAGCTGTCCTTGTCAGGTCCTCCGTCCTGTATCACTGACAAGGGGAAGACACGTCAGAAAATCTGGAAGAACTTTCTCAGCCAATTCAGGGATCGAACACCCGACCTCCAGGCTAGTGAGCCAGCGTCGTACCCTCTTAGCCATGTGATCTCCTTATAATTTTGAAAAAGAATATAGTGATTGTAAAAGCTAATAAGTTATCGGTTGCATTTTATTTTTGTTTTTAATGTTAAATATCCCTCTCAAACACAATTATATTTTAATTCTCTCCAGAAATTTGTGTAAAATATAGACTGTAAATTAAAACTTTCATCTTTTAACTGTTGAGTCAATTTAAGTCATCTAATACATAGTATGTTTTTTTCCAGTTAACTACATCAGAAAGATAAAAACAGTTGGAAATGGCTATTCATATTGTGGAAACTTTTCTCACAGAGCTTGATAATCAGGCAAAATGTAAGTACCATACATATTTGTATTTTTAATCAGGAAGTAGTTTTATACACTTGCTTGGTAATCTAGTTATTCTTCTTGGGGCAATGCCTAGGACTCAGCTATTTCAAGTACTTGGCATTCTTGATTTTTGCCAATCACATCCATTGATTTCCTTCAAGTTATGATAGGGCCTATGTGTATTTTTACAGTAAATAGCAGTAAAATAATGATGGACAATATTTTACTTTTCAAATAGATTTCAATAGATTTTAAAGGGTAATATCCAATTTGTTGTCAATGGAAATAAAATAAGAATGGGTCCAAAAATAATTAGACATTGCCAAGTAAATAGGTGCTGCCAATGATGTAGTAGGGAATCTGGATTTGCAGACAATACATGTATGAACCGGGTGAATAGTTGACCTATTATGAGACTTCAGTTCCAAATCTCAAGACTTTTTTCTGACTTGGCCTGACAAGGACAGCTGTCTAGTCCTTCCGATGAGACGAATATTGGAATGCACGTAAAAGATCCCCTGGCAGTTGGAATTCGATATAAGAATAGATGATAGTGCCGCTGCCCGGGCAAAAATTCCCTCATAGCACACTGTGTAGCATATGCCCGTCATTATTAGCCCAGTATAGGAGCAGAACAGTAGGACGTTAAACCCCATTTCATTTCATTTTTCTGACTTTTAACCCATTTGATTTGAGCATAATAATCTGCCTGGGTCTTTAAGTGGACAAGACACAATAAGCGATACGCAAAGTTGAAACCAAATAGAGACTCAGTCTCGATGTGGCAAAATAAATTGTTTATTTAAACATTGTATTCTTATTGCCTACTTTTTATTTTTTAGGCTGGAACACCCTTGAAAGAGTATTTGATGTATGATAACAACAAGAGAACCCAAGCATCAATTTATTTTATACTTCTGGGAAAGAATGCATTTGACCCAATTTTTAAATATTTATTTTTTGTTATTAATGTTAAATTTTCTTCCAAAACACAATTAGATTTTAATTCTCTTCAAATATGTATGTGTAATATAGCAAGTAAACTGACATATAAATCACTTAGAATTTGGTCAGAAATCATAAAGTATTTAATAGGCATTACTAGAAACCAAATGTAGATCAAATACACCGAGAATTACAAAAAACCTTGACCTACATTAAGGTGACTTTCCCTTGCTTATGAAATGAAATACGTTTTAATATCCTGCTTTTCTGTGTTCTTAGAGTGATTCTACCCTACCCTTATATCAAATATTTCAACTGTCAAGGGTTCTTTAAAGGGTACCCAGGGGGGCCGAATGGTTAACACGCACACATTTGATCAGAAGTTCTGTCATTGATTCAAATAATTAAATTTTCAAGGGTTCTATAAAGTGTACGCAGTTGGGTTGGTTTCGATTCTGGGGGGTGGGGGTGGATGGCCGAATGGTTAGCACGTGCATGCTGTATCATACGGCCTCCTGTCATTGAGTCAACTGGCATGGTTTCGAATCCCCGGTTGTAGACAAGGAGTAGGGTCGCCTGTCCAATCTTGTGGGTTTTCTCCGGGACCTCCGGTTTCCTCCCACTGCTAAAGCCCCCTACGCGCTAGCGAATTATTGAAATAAAATTTAAACCATATGTTAGTCCCAAAATGACCTAGTTTGTGTCGAGTAGGCGTTAAACCACATTTCTCTCTGTCTCTCTCTCTTTTGATTCTGGGCTTGTACCCAATTATCCCTTGCCATATCCAACACTGAAAAGTGGGAACTATGCCGGAAAATCCAGTTGAAATTTCTCGGCCAACGCCTTATGCTCACTGAACCACTGTGGCTTATGACTTGTGATTGTATATAAATCTTTTGTACATATGATATTTTTTTATTTCAATCCTGTAATCTTGATGCTTTGCTTCTTTTATTTATAAAATATTCATTTTGTTTGGGTTTTTTTTAATGAGGAAAAGGCTCTACATCATTTTATTACTCCTGCAAAATAGAGCAATTTTCTTTTGTTAGTTTTCTGTGTATGCTAGTTATTTCTAGATGCCTCACAAATCACTTGTAGTGTGATTTTGTAGCATTTTTCAGTTTTTGAAATTGTTTCAATTTAGTGCATAATTAATCTTATTAGTGCTTAGTTTGGATGTTATTAAATTTAGATATATTTGAATTATATATTTTGGGGTATGGGGTAGGGATACTGTGTACATATCTTTATATTCTCAGTTCTTGTTTTGGGGTAAAGAACAATTTAAATAGCTATTTTATATTTTGTGATGGGTAAAGTGTGTGGGGCAAAAAACAATTTAAATAGCTATTTTATATTTTGTGATGGGTAAAGTGGGGGGGGGGGAGGGGTCATTATATATAACACAATATAATTTGTATTAGAATTGAAGTCTCTGTTTTTCTGTTAACATTTCAAATATCTATTTAGTTTTGATGTATTAATTTACTTTTTCCTATGATTTTATGAATAAATAATAATCTTACAAAATTTTTTTTTGTTTCCTTCTTTTATCAAACTTTACAGGTCTAACAGAGCAAAGAGAGGGGTCCTGCATAGAAAGGTTGCTATGCTGGATATAAATTGGGGGAAATAACAACACAAGTTTTTGATGATGGTTATACACAAGTTTGTATGAAACCACACAAGTTTCAGAAATTTCAACACAAGTTTCAGAAATTTCAACACAAGTTTCAGAAATTTTAACACAAGTTTCAGAAATTTCAACACAAGTTTCAGAAATTTCAACACAAGTTTCAACACAAGTATTGTGTAGATTTCACACAAGTTTTGTGTTGTTTGATACATTTTAACACAAGTTTTGTGTTGTTTCAACATTTAACACAAGTTTTGTGTTGTTTTAACACAAGTTTGTGTTGTTAAATAGAGACACCTAACTTGTGTTGAATTTAACACAAGTTTGTGTTCTTTCAACACAAGTTTTTTTTCAGTGTAAAATGAACTAAACAGGCGTAAATAATCGTCATTCAATTTGGATTGTTCACGTATTTCACCGAACATAATTGATTAGAAATTATTATTATTATTTTTTAAATTGAATGTAAATCACTTTAGGCTATATACATACATATTACATTAATATGTGCTTTTGGACCCATTTTCGTCTATTTGAAGGTTCCAAAGAATGGAGCTTTACGTCCTTTAACACAAACTATGCCATTTCCTGACTAATATGTCATCTATTTCAATCATTCACGCACAGGGATAACGTATAGTCTTTCGGGTGGGACAAAAAAAAAACAAGGTCCCGCGTACACATTGGCGGTTGGAATTCGATATAAGAGTAGACCGTGGAGCCGCTGTCCGGGCAAAGTTTCCCTCATAGCACACTGCATGGCGTATGCCCGACATTGCCCGTCTTGATTAGCCCAGTCGGAGCAGAACAATAGGACGTTAAACCCACTTCATTTAATTTGATTTCGTATTTGAAATGTTGTCAGGTTTTATATGGGAGCAAGATCATCTCGCGCGGGAGTATTTTCCCTCATTGCCACACTGTATGGCGTATGCCCGTCTCCATTAACCCAATCGGAGCAAAATAGTAAGACGTATAACCAGATTTCATTTCATTTTTATTGTCTTGTCGCCTTTTCAGTATTAAAGTTTAGTAAATATTGAATGCTTTTTGTTAGTAAAAGTCGTTAAAAGGTTTGAAACTTGAGTCACCTGTGTTCTTTTCATCACGGACGTGTGTATGATAAATCTTAATAAAATATCCCCATGACCAATTCATTTAACAGATATTTAACGTAAACGGTGTTATGACGTTACGGTCAATCGGGGCCGTTCCTATTTGTCATAATAAAGGTCTGAGTGAACACATTTAAACGCCTATCCCGCCAGTCAATGAATTATTAATACGATGTTTACTAAAAACGTATAGCGCGACCACATGTACTTGTGGCCCTAAAATGATGGTTATTGTTTTCTATCAAATTTGTATAAATATGCATTGATCATAACCTTTTAACCCCACCAACCACTGATGTTTAGATAGCACTATAGTTTTTCATAGAGTGAAATGAAATAAAATGTGGTTTAACGCCCTACTGTTCTGCACCGACTGGGCTAACGGAGATAAGCATGCGCCATACAGTGTGCTATGAGGGAAATTTACGCGGACATCTGCACTACGGCCTACTCTTATCTCGAATTTCAAGGGTCAAGGGTTCTTTTACATGCACGGAACATCGATTTTACATCCCATCCGAGCGACTGTTCCTTGTCCCTTGCCAGGTCCTTCGTCCTGCACCACTGACAAGGGGATCCACGCCGGAAAATTCCAATGATCTTTCTCGGCCAATACAGAGATGGAACACGGAACCTCCAGGCTAGCGAGCCATCATCTTACTCACTGAGCCAACGCGGCTTCATTTTCCTAGAGTAACACGCTTCTGTGAGTGGTACAATATCATGAATGAATTATTAAAACAAAACATGCTGCTGACATTATTAGAGTCGAATTTTCAGAGTGTTAAAAGAATGAGAGATCATGTCTTAAAGTAATATGGCGGCATTCTTTTAGAATGTAGAATCTGAATTTAAGAGAAAACATGACGAAATACGAATCGTTGAAACTACAAGTTTGGAATGCCTTAACAAGTTTATAACAATATGGTGACATTCTTTTGAAAAGAACTGTTTTGATAAGTATGTAATATAACCACGGGAGACAGAAGGCTTCTAAATGACATTTACAGATTTTATCACCATTATCACCCAATTTCCTCGGGACTTTTCGGCGTGGTTTCCCCTCTTGTCAGTGCTGCAGGACGATGGGGGGGGGGGGCTGACAAGGACAGTTGTCTAGAAGTTCGAATGGGACATAAAAACCGAGGCCCCGTGTACACATTGGCGTGTACGTAAAAGAGCCCTTGACAGTTGAAATTAGATATAAAAGTAGGCTGTACACCGCTGTCCGGGTAAATTGTCCCTCATAACACACTGCATAGCGCATGCCCCCGTCTTCATTAGAAAAGTCGGTGCAGAAAAGTAGGACGTTAAACCCTATTTAATTTCACAAAATAAGAAGCAAATCCCATGTAAACAAAATAAATAAGCTCCTTGTTAACAGAGCCATCTTGGTGCTGAGGGAAATGTAAATCAATAATAAATATAACTGTCTTAAAGACCCAACATGGAGGGAAAAACCTCCAATATGGAGTTTAGGGTCATACCATTTTAAAGGTACTTGTATTTCAAAAACCCAACGTTTTATTACAAAATTTATTCAACTCGATCAATTCTTATTTTAGTTATGGTCAATTGAAGTTTTACATTGGTTTTATTGATTTCGCACCTCCTCCGCCTTAAACAAACACATTTATGAGTGTACTTATAAGTTATATTAACTACAATAGTACACATTGCTGACTTATGAAATATGTATGTGAACAAGCCGACGTGTGGCGCCTATAATCCACGGGTCATTTTTTTTTTCAAGCAATATTTGTATTCAGGATATCTGAATGTAGTATGAGATTGGGGAACAAGTCATTGTTTTTTTGTGTTTTTTTTTTTTTTTTTTAGTTTTTTTTTTAAAAAACAAGCAATATTTTTATTCAGGATATCTGAGCAATATGTTTATTCAGGATATCTGAATTGGATTGGGGAATAGGCTTAACCTGTAAAACCCCTCTAACCATGAGCCATTACAGTATAAGACCTAAAAGGAAAAAAGATTTATTTTAAATTAAAAAGCAGACGACTTACCATGATTATCTACCTCGTCTTCAAATTCGCCGATTCTCTTTGCTTTGTCCATTTCAATTGATTTATCCATCAGAATAAAGGATAATTAAAAAGATTAGCAAATATATGCTGATTGTAATATTAACTCCCGAAAAAGGAAAGTCGTAAAATTTCCGTAAGTCTTGGTCAAAATGTTTCGGAAGTTAACAACAAATTCCCTTCCTCTGGTTTGTTTATTCCAGCACTTGTTTGAAATTTATATAGAAGAATCTGCCAGGATAGAATACCGTAAATATTGTAGAAGTTTATAAATACCACGTTCTCGTGGCCAATTAATGACGTCAGGATACTCGACCAATGAAAAAAGAGAGGAGTATTTTGATGCGTGCTGTCATTCGTTGAATTGTATGAATGAAAAGGGGTCGACGTGTGTTTGTCACTGCTGATAACAAGCATGATTTCGTTAAATGAAAATCACCCATGCGTTTTAGGTAGGAAGAGATCATTTACTCGAGTACCCGGACATCGCCGTTATTTTTGGCATCTTCTGAGTATTGAACAATGACAGTTAATAGAATTTGTCACACCTCAACAATGGCAGCCATTGGCTGTAATTTACAGAAGAAAGGACGAGAACAATATATTTGTTACTAGGTATAATTATGGGAGGGAGGGGTACACTCAGGATATGAATGGTCCTAATTTCTAATTAATATCATGGCGGTCTATTTGCACCTTTTTGTGATTGCATAATTGATGGATTTTAGTGGACATACTTGCTTAGACCGATACGATTTTTTTGAACGACTTTAATACGCCCAATTATTATACTATTTTAAGTCATACACACCTACACACATTTATTTACATATTAGTTTGTTTGTTTTTTGGGGGTTTTTATTCTGAGAATCAATTCTTAACTACAATTCTTAATATAAAGTATAGTGAGGGGTGGGGGGATTTCTCGGGTTAATGAAAAGCTCTCTAGCAAAGTAATTCATGGATAAAGAAAAGAAAAGCAATCATTGGTTGATATAAAACATGTTCGATGTTAGATTTTTAAGGATAGGGTTTGACGTCTTACTTTGGGATACCTCAATCAGTGTGCTATTAATATGAAGAGAATTTTGCCTGGACAGCGACGCTTCTGCTTACTCTACATAGTATTTCAACTGTCAAGGGATCCTCGTTTGCATAACGTATACACTGGATCTCAGTCCATTAGAAGGATTAGACGGTGTTTCTACCGCCCAACCGTTCTGTATCACTCACTGACAAAGGGAAGCCACCATATATATATATATATATATATATATATATAACCGGATTCCTAGTCAAGCCGCCACACCGACAGTACGCGTAATGTGGTAATATGATTTCAAGCTTACGACCTCTAACATAAATAGTTGTAACATATTAGTATTAACACTAATTACAGCCTATTAAACAAATTATACACTTATTATAAGACCCAGAACGAATTATTTTAATAGATTAGAGCTAAAGACGATAATATTATTTTACACTAATTATAAAATAGGCGTATAATTCGGCCCAAAGCGAATAATTGACATAGATTACTGTTGTTTGTGATGTCTCTCCTATTTCCTATTTATATGATAAGTCTATTTTAAATATGTATTCCCTCGGGAATAATTAGTTCACCTGTCCGACTCCCTGAACTTATTTACATATTTTTATATCTGAATGTATCATTTTTGTAACGGGGAGCCGCTGTGGTTCAGTGGGTAAGACGTTTGCTCGCTGAATTGGAGGTCCCGTGGTCGATCCCGGTGTTGGCCCGGCAAGGGACAACGTATAATCGTTCGGATAGGACGAAAAACCGAGGTCCCGTGTACACATTGATGTGCATGTAAACGAACCGTTAGCAGTGGGATTCAATATAACATTACGCCGTAATGCCGCTGTCCGGTCAAAATTTCCCTCATGATGCACTGTATAGCGTATGTCCGATTTCATTATCCTAGTTGGAATAGAACAGACCTTCATAAAAGTACATATATCCTTATATGGTAATAGCGCAAATTGTAGAATCATTTACAAGTATTTAGCGCGGTGTCCTTGAAAATACGAGGGTCTACTGACAGTGATCACAATCTAAGAGAAAGGGCCAACTGAACCCGTTTAAAGAATAAAATCGCAAATATGACAGGAAGTGTCTTAAATGAATTGAAAAACATTTGTTACAGTATTGTTGACTTTATCTTTGTTTTATTACATCGTCTTGTTTTAGTAGATTTAATTTAGCTCCCTTTAACCCACTTTTCCCGTCCTGTTTTTATAATCAACCCTTGACGCCAAATGTAGGGCTAAATCTAAAAGTTAAAGCCATCTCAATTTTTGTCAAGGTCGCTAAGATGTAAATAAGATTAGGGCACGTGATTGTTAGCGAGATTGTAGGTTAGGGTTAGGGTAAGCATTGGGGCTAGGTCCAGGCGTAGGGTTAGGTTTGGGTTTAGCGCTAACCCCGTTTACATCTCGTGACCTATGACGAAAAATTGAGCTGGTCTTATCATTTAGCATCAACCCCAAATGTCTCTGTGTACTTATATGTCGCTTCATATCATCAGTTAAAATTCAAAAAGAAAACTCTTTAAAAGTTTTATGTAAACAATACTTCGATTCGTTTTACTTTCTTCTAGGAAAATAGTGTTTTATTTGAAATTGAATCACCGCTTGTTAAAACTAGAAACATTTGTCAAAAATAACTTTCCTTGTATTTATTTTAGAATTTTAAGGGGTAATTATTTGTTATTGTAACTTACTTGAACACCAACAATAGGTTGATACATTTACTTAACATTGGTATTCGTGTTACCGCATCTAAAGCGTCTTTTATCTGGGTCAGTGGGATTTGGGTTCGCGTTAGAGAGAGGAGAGAGAGAGAGAGGGGGGTGGGGGTAACGTCCACGCGACACAAACTAGATCATTTCGGGACTAACACAAGGTTCAATTTGATTTCAATAATTCGCTTGCACGTATAGGGGTCTTTAGCAATGGGAGGAAACCGGAGGACCCGGAGAAAACCCACGAGGATGGAAAGGCGAACCTACTCCTTGTCACGTACAACCGGGGAATTGAAACCATGCCAGTTGGCTCAATGACAGGCCTTATGATACAGCGCGCACGTGCTTACCAGTTTGACTAACATAATGTTGATTTGGAGGGTTTTTCTGTTTACGCAGAATGTGTCCCCGGAAGCTGCGTTAACATTTTGGTATATTATGCACCAGTTACTCTTCTTAACGGCTTCTGAAATATCAACCAAATTTGGTAGGTATTTGTCGGGTGGTATTTATTCAGATTTGTTGGCGGCAACTTTAGATATTCTTACAAATATTCGACTTCATCGTCTGAATTAATTGGAAGATTTCAAATAAATTTGGTAGATAGGCTACACGGCTTGAGTAGTTCTCCGCTACTTCAAGGGGGCATTTCTTTTCAGAATGACGCCATTAGAGTTCCACAGAACACCCATGCTTTCTAATGAACAAACATGGATGAAAAAATTACAAGGTCGTTGGACTTTTCTACTTCTAATATAAAGAACTCACAAACTGTTGACGTCACAAATCATGCAAACAACAATAGTCTGCTCTGATTGACACTTTAACCCCAAGTACGACTAAACTGTTGACGTCAGTGCAAAAGAACCAATAGTAAGATCTCTGCAATAGAAATAAACAGTTTTTCAATTGATCCCCACCTGAAGTGATAAATTCAGTTTTGATCAAGTCGAGTGGATTAAAAGTGTAATCAAGTGGACGACCATCTTATTCATAGACGAAGGGTTGGGTTTTAAAGAGGACCTGTTTTGAGAGGAATTACTTACCAATAAACAAACAATATAACATAAGTACATCTCTTGAATTTAAACCCAGAATTCGGTTAAAAATTCGATTAATCTCTATTTATCAGCTTAAATTTCATTAATCGCTATTCATTAGGTTACATTTGAATTAATCTGTATTGATTAGTTTATCACCATTGAAGTCAGTTGCCCTTTTCAAGAAGTTGACATGTGAATTGATTTTTTATTTATTAGTCTATGAATAATTCAATAAATATTGAAGTCAACTGTCCCTTTCAAGAAGTTGGCATTCATTAAAAAAAATACTGAACATGAAATAAACTGAAAAAATAGGAACAGCGTAAGAGAATGACAAAGCCGTTTTAATTTATATATTTATAACTTAGACTACGACTACATCTATGAGTAATATAATATAAATATTTTAATTTATTATTGACAATCTTCATTAGGCTAGTCGGTGCAGAAATATAGGACGTTAAATCCTATTTCATTTTATTGACTGGACGAATATCCCAATGGTTATCACCTTTTATTAAAACAAATGAAATGAAAGTCCTACTTTTCTGGGGGGGGGGGGGTCGGATGACTGAATGGTTAGTGTGCGCGCTGTATCATAAAGTCTGTCATTGAGTCGACTGGCGTGGTTTCGATTCCCCGGTTGTACGTGACAAGGAGTATTTCAGACCTTGAACAAAGTGGTCTATTATAGCCTAATTAAGATGGCTGACTCGAATTCCAATCAAAAGATCAATCGTTTACAGTCCACGAAGACGGGATCGTTAGCATAAAATTTAACTGCCGCAAACGCGTTTTCCTGCTATTCCAGCCTGTGAATACAGCAACTTCAATTTGGTCCAATATAGCCCACCTGGCTGACCATAATTCCAAACACCCAATTAATCGTCGCGGAGTATGGAGACCTCACCTTCCCGGAGAAAATTTTGAAACTCCAACAGTATCCAATGGTTTTGTAACCTAAATCCCATTTTGAATTCCAACCATTCAGACTGTTGCAGCTGCATTCACAAATAATAATCGATGCCCGAAAAATGTCGCACAAAGTAGAGTGGCTCCAGACAAAATGTTTTAATCCATAGTCAACTCAGTACAAATTCGTGGTATTCAATTAAAAGATAAGTAAAATTCGTGTTTTATTAGGGCTCGGTGACAGGAAAGCAAAACTAGGAATGCCCGAAAAAATTTCAGGTTTACAGACAGCGGCGCCGGTTTTCTTCGAGAGGCGAAGAAGCGGAGCTGACCTTGTAAGGACCCCCCAAGAAACATTTTGGAATAATTGACGGCCGCAAACGCGTTTTACTGCTATTCCAGCCCGTAAAATTAGTGTTTTATTAGATTTCGGGCACTTTATTTTGCCAAGTAGATGAAATAAAAAATTTTTTTCACTTCACCCGT